AATCAAGTCATTGCAGCACATTGGGTGCATGGATTTTTACCCTTGAGACATTGCACTGCACTCTTGCAGCAAGACTGACAGATTGGAGAATGATGTATGAATGACGCTGGTGCATAGGTGTTCCTAATAAAGTGCTCAGTGAGTGTGTAGTTCACATTCAGTGACTGTTGATTAAAAACCTGCTGCGCAGTTCACTGATTGTAAATGCAAAGAAATTAATTATCAGTTTGGTAAAACACACCCGCTTTGACCACTTGTACATTTTATAATGGAATGAAATTAACTTCTGGCTTGTCATCTGTTCTCAGGGCCAGCAGAAGCCTCCAAAGATGTGTAAGTACTTAAGCCATTTTCTAATTATTTAAAGTATTTCTAAAACTCATCATCTGCAGGCTCTAGGCCTTGAAGGTTTGCATCAAATTTTACACTGTACAAAATTAGCTTTATACCTCGATGCTGTATATTAACACTGACACTTAGGGTCATTTAACAATGGTAAATATGCAAGGGTTTGACAGTAAATATCATCATTGTTAACATTTTTTTAATTTACATGTGTCTTGATGCATGCTCAATCATCCAGGTAAGAAAATCTCCAAAGGTTGATTCTGTTCATCTGGACGTAGCGTTTTCAGTGGGAGAAATGTTTTGTCACTCATCCAAGTGACTTCTTCAGTCTCAGCTGACTGTTTATAAGATTAGGGAACCCTGCAGTCAGCTGAGACTGAATAAGTCACTTAGATGAGTGACAAAACGTGTCTCCCACTGAAAATGCTACGTCCAGATGAACAGAATCAACCTTTGGAAATTTTCATGAGACATGTGAAGTTGGGCACCACATTGGTGTGGTAGTTAGCAATGTTGTCTCACAACAATAAGGTCCTGAGATTGACTCTGCCATCTGGCTGGAGCCTTTTGTGTTGACTTCACATGTTCTCCCTGTTTTTGTGTGGGTTCCTCCTACAGTCAAAGATGAACAGTTAACAAAATCTTAGGCAGCATAATGTAAAGTATGGTTGGTTACACTGTTGTGCAATAAAGAGGATGTACGTTGTATCACAAGACAGCTGATCAGTTTGTTTCATTAGGTCATTTACACAAGGCATTTTGTAGAGGTTTATAGCAAATTTGGCAGTTTGTCGTCAAACAATAACTGTAATCTGGACTTTTTATTCAAAATAGAATTATAGACTTATAGACTTTATTCTTAAAATGATTTTTTCCTCTAATGTGGCCCTAATACTCCTGCGTAGTTTGCTAACTGCAAAAATTAAACGTAAATTTACTGTGGGTCCAAAAGTGGATTGTCCCAGTTGACAGTGACAGAAATATTTTAATTTCAGACTAACCACTCTGCTTTTGTTGTATATACTTTTGGTTAAAAATAATTGATTTTGGCCAACAAATAGTTTTGTGTTCTGTTCTTTTGGGGGTTTTTTTTGTTTTTATTCTAATTGAAATACAGAAGATATACTTTTCTTTGCTATCTAGAATACAGTAAAAAGCTATGGGAGGGGTAGCTTTTTCCAAAGCATTTCCTGGAAACACTGTGTATGTGTGTTTGTGCTTTATTGTAGTTTGTGTTTGTGTGTGTAAGTGTGTGTATTCTCCTTCATAACCATCTGAACAGCCAGCACAGGACCCATGAGAGCTGACAGTAAAGCATTGACTCAGTGAAGCTAATCACAGCTATCTAGGTCTGGACTACACAGCAAACTACCACACAAAAGCTCATGCACCAACACACACACTCACAGAGCAAGACACACGGTTAAGGGAATAATATACTCACAAAACTGAAAAAGTGTGATACAGCTTGGCTTGCATAGGGATAGTGCACACAGTGAATAAACCTTCACATCGGCTTCATGTTGTTACCATGTTTGATCTTAATGATCAGCCACCACATCAAACCTGAGATCACTTTAAGTCTGTTGTTCAGCAGGCCTGAAATAAAACTGGCAGTTTGGTCTATAGAAGTTCCTGACAGTGAAGTATTCCCTACAGGGCTTGAGCAGCATACTGAAGATTTCTGATGCTAAGCAAAAGAACCTCCAAAAGAACAATTTTTGCACTTTCTCTCCATTTTGTATATTTGTGATTTTTTTTATTTCCTCTCTGCTCCCATATGACCTGACCTGTGCCCATTCTCTCAATCAGGACAGAAGATCCCTCAGCAGAAGATGAGAAAAGAAGGTACTTTGCAGCGCCCTTGAGTGCACTTTGCTAAGACGACTATACTTGAAATGAAATATACTTTAAATTTTTTATCGCAAAAATGTCAAATAGTTTGTTTTGCAGCATTCTCATAATAAAGTGCAAGGTCTAAACAAGTAAATGAACAATAACTCAAAAAATAAATGAATAAAATGATAAATGAATTTCATTTAGAGGTCTGTCAGTTTGATGGGATACTGGTAATGCTATTAAAAACATCCACTAAAACAAAAATCAATGCCATCTATGGTTTTAAATTGCTACTTGGTCTTTAAAACCTCTCCTCTGCTCTCCTCTCAGGAACTATGGTGGTGTGTATGTAGGTCTGCCAGCAGACCTAACGACTGTGGCTGCCAGCCAGTCCAAAGCTACACGTAAAGGTGAACTGCAGCACGCATTACGTACACGAATCTCTCACATTTAGAAGCAGAACTCGGTGTGGCGAACAGTGAGCTGTTATACCGCCGACATCTGGCAGCCTCTCAGGCATCTCACCACATGAAACCACGCCACCACGTGGAACCACGTCGCCAGCAGCGTCTTCGGTTTTATTTGACCTTTATTTTTACTGAATATTAATGAGAAACATTTACTTTGCTATACCCAACGGGGTACTGATATTTGCAAAGTTCAATATAGTTGACGACAATTATTCTGTCCAAAAATTGTATTTTTAATCAACATGGGCTTTACAGAGAGCCACATTTGTGTGCATATTTTAAATGTTATTCATTTTCTCTGTTTACAAAGTAAAACATCTTTATGTATGTAAAGGACTTTCTGATGGAGAAATATAAGTGGTAAACTGCCATGCCTCCTGAATTAGAGTAAACTCACATCGCTCCTGCGTGTTGCGGCCCTGAGGGCTTTCTTCTCGCATACATGTCCTTGTGCCCATTGAGGTTAAATATAATAATGGATTGATTCAGTTTTGTATCCTCTGGCATGAGAAGTATTGGCTCTTGTTTTTATTGAAGCCAAGATGTTCAAACTGCTGGGTGGAGTGTGTGGGTGTTTTTCAACACAGTCTTGACTGTGAGACAGAAACACCAGAGAAGAATAAAAAAAATTCTGTCAAATAATTGTCCTATAAATATCTGAACACTGACTCAGTTGTTTCTTCCTTCTTGCAGACTAGCAACCATTCAAGGAAACGCAACAGAGGTACCTGAAATATGAAGCCTCTTTGTTCGGCTTTTAACATTGCTTATTCAGTGCAAAAGACTCATGTGAAAGCCGCTGACTCCATTTTTCTCTCTCATCTCGACAGGATCCTGCATATTAATTTACGTACAAACAGTCACATTACAAGCAAAGAGCATGTAAGCCCTCTGATTCTGCCCCACCACAGACTGAATAAAGTCTCAGGCACTAATACTCTACGAAGATGTGGACGGCCTGCAGGGGCTGGGGGGATGTTCCCTCACAGAGTAATGGGTGGCAAAGTGAAACAGAGGTGCACATCAGAGGCCTGCAAGTGGATTGTATCATCGCCCTTTACTTTGCAAATACTAGGAAAGCACTCAATCTGGGACTAGCAGCTGTGGACAGCGGCACCGGACTTATCGACAGTCATCTGGATTTCTCGGTCAATTCACTGGAAATTTCTCTTTCTCAGGAGGAGACAGATGATCCAGCCAACTTACTAAATAACTGGGTGGGGGCTGACACACTCCCAACAGCCCTCTGCAATAATAATCACTGCTCAGTTATTTCTCTAAAACGCCATCAATGATTCATTGTGTGGCAGGGATAGAGTTATAGAGAGACAGAGATAAACCAGAGTTACACACACACACACACACACACACACACAAAAAAGCAGCAAACACATTCCTGTTAACGTATAATAACGGAACATCTCAGTGTTGTTGAAAATAGTGCTGATTGCAATCAGGGTCCTGCTGCTGCAACAGAAAAGTCTGAAATGACACTGATTTTAACAATGGCTCTAAATGTTAATAACAGCGACGAGTCAAGTCGAGGGTTTCACAGATGATGTTCCTAAATGTCCCGAGTGCAGCAGGCAGGTCGTACCTGATGTTATCACTTAGCTTGGCCCCAGACTGATTATGTAACCACAGCATATGAGTCATGATACTTAGAGGAGCTCTCCCTGTCCACCCGTCTCTCTCTCTCTCTCTTTCCGTCCTTCTCAATTGTCTGCAGGATTGTATTTTCCTGTTCCCCCTGTTTATACTGCTTGTGGCTCATTCACATAATTCTTATAATTTCGCTCCAGATGTAGAACTGACACAGTTTCTTCAAATCACACAACATCCATCTATCTTACACACAACTGAAAAAAGAGAAAAAAAACATGTCTTAATATTTCATATTCATTTGCAAAAAAAAGGAAAAACAAAAATAACAAAAAAATGTGAAGAATAGAGACAGCCGCCCAAAAAAGTGAATTTTTTTCTCTTTGGTGAAACTGCCGTTGTAGCAACTCCATTGAATTTATTATAATTCTACTTTATACTGTATAAGCATAGTTGTTTATGTTTGTTTGCTTTTTGTTATCTTTATATGAAATGTGTTATTTTGTATTTTTTTTAGACTGTCAACAAGTCCTAATGAAAAAAAAAATGAAATCAAAGATTCTTGTGTCTAACTTAGGCTTTGCTCAATCCACTCTAAGGTTGAGATAAACTCTGCGACCCTGTTCACACTTAATGCTAAAATGCTTCTCGGGCGATTGGATCAAGATTGGACTACAGCGACACGTTGCTGTTTTATATCTGCGAATCTGTGACAATCATGTGTCTCCAGCTGTCTTTGCTACTGTTGAACACAGATGTTTCATTGCCACTCAAGTGCCAGATTTACTTTAGGTCAGCAAAGAGAACGAGAACTAATATTTGTGTACGAGTTATTCCGGCTATTGATATTGTAATTTGTGAGACAAAATGAAGGAAATGTTCTGTCTGCAACAAGGACGATGCTTCACAACAATTTTCCAGGTTGTTTCTTGTTTTAGGCAATTCAGAAAATGAAAGCATTGACCTTACAATAAATATGTGGCTCAAACCAACACAGAAAGCGCTTTGAGTAAGTGGATCAGATTGCATGATATTGATTGTTCTTTATCTTTATCACTGTCCGTGTGTAATTTGATCCCAGAAGGTGCAATTTATAATCAAGTGTAGGCAGAGTCTATGTGTTTCTCCACCATATTGTTAAGAGATTTCTTTTTAAAGAATTTGGGCATTGCAGGAACAAATGAATTCTAATAGATGGTGCATTAGTAGATCAATTCGTTGTTGGGATCGGTCCATTTGTGAAGTTTGTTGACCTCGAGAAAAAAATACACAATATAATCAGCCTTATACTTTAACAGTAAAACCTCATCAAGCACTACGATGTTCCCAGAAAAGAAAAAACACATTACAGCTGGGCGAGCATTAAGGTCTAAGGTCATTTGTCAGCCAGACTCTTGACAGTTCTCTCCTCTAATGAATGTACAACATCTTCCACTGACCAAGACTTTAGGGGAGGGTGGAAATAGGCCAACTTTAAACACTTGAGATTCAAGAGATGTTCTGTCTGAGCTACACAAAGCTCTTTATACGCCTGTCTGTGTAGCTCTGACTGCCTCAACTGACCAGCCTCAATAAAAATGAGGACTTGTTTCACCCTGCCAGCACACAAGCTTACTGTTTACTGTTTTATCAGTTTTTCTTGCGAGTGGCGCATCACCAGTTATCAGTCGAGCTGATACCAAGGGATTTCGTGTAGTGTCTTTTGCGAGCCATTTGTCTACTCACATTGTTGCAGTGTGTGAATTGTTCACCTGTTGTAGAGACAGATTATACTGCAGATACAAAGAGCTGCTTCATGTACTTTGTAGTTAATGGTGAATAATAAAAGGAGCTGAAGTGTGCCTACAGTGCCAGATCACAAATTTGATCAGGAAACCCACCTGAGACGTTGCATTTTTGCTGTCCCTTTTCTTTGATGCCTACATTTTTTCCCTACCGCACCGGTGGCCTTTGGCTTTTACAGCGTGTTGTGCTGCCTGCCTCTCCCTCTTCAATCAGCCTCACGTTGCCCTTTATGGTTGTTCCTCCTGTATATGATGAATGTCACTGCCTTTGCCCTATTCAGTTAGCTTAACAGGGACAAGGGGGCAGAATGTGGATGAATATAACCGTCTGATGTCCTCTACATTAAAATGCTGCTGTAGTTTGCTGCAGTACAGCGTGTTGAATGTAGTAGGGGTGGGCTGTGCTTATAGAAGATTTTTTGGGGGAGGAACTGCTATGGACGTTAAATGCTAATCAAAGCTAGCTACCAGCAACCTGTTAGCTTAGCATAAACTTTGGAAACAGGGAAACAGCCTACCTTTAAAGGTCACCATTTAACACGTAACATCAAAAGTAATTTTTAAAAGGACACTTCTGTTGATACAAGCAAGAAAGGAATGAAATGCCTTTCTTCAAACTGTAATACTATTCTTACGGTTTAGTTGTATAATGATGCTGAAAATTCTGGACACCACCTGGAGTCAGAGTAGCTGTTAAATATTTTATTTATTCCAACACTAGAAAAGACCTGAAGTAGTCATAGAAAGCCCTCCACCCCCCCACCAATGTCACTTCATGGTTTTGACCACTGTAAAATTTTATGATTCAAGAGGTAATAAGTGAGGTTCTTGGGTTGTTCAATGATGTTCTATGCTTAAAAAACACTTTATGGGATATTTATCATGTCTGTCTTTCACGCATAAATAATATTTACTGATCACTCCTTTCTAAACCTAATCTATCAATGATGCTGAAGATTAAAAAAAATGTGACTGCCTCTGTGCAACAAATCCACAATTTTCTGATTGAATTATCAACAATTAAAGACTTTTATACCGTCCGCACACAGCTGTGTTTATTGATTGTGGTCTTTGCTGAAACGTATCTGCCTCCTGTAATCAATAGGCTTCAGACTTGAGGGATTAAAAGTGTTCTTAGTAAATATTCCAGACTGCATGAAGAAATAGAATAAGATTTGCTAACTGCCGTGGGCCTTTGTGCAATAAGATCAATCGCAAGTTCATCTTGATAATTGGCTGTGCTGAGATCGCACGAGGAGAGGAAAAGAGGAGCAGGCTGGGTTCACTGTCCCCTCTTTTACTGCATGCAAACAATTTGAGCCTCTCCACTGGTCACATATCATGTTCTGCTCCTGGTGCAGAAACTAGAAAATATAAACTGTGCGTGAAAAAGAAAAAAAACAGAACTTCTGTAATAAGTAATCAAGGGACATATATCTGCAGCATATAGGACTGACTCGCATATGAATAAAAATTTTTTTAATCATATATTCCATTTTTCTCATATATTGTCATATACATAATAGCCTTCATGCACATATAAAACATCCCAAAGAAGCAGATGTGGTTCTGTGACATGCAGTGTTAGCTGAAATACTTTGTTACACAAGCTCTGCTAAAGAGTTATTTGTTCCAAATTACAAAGGGCAAAAATGATAAGTTCTAGTATTTACTGAACTCTCGAACTCTGTCTATTGAAAAATGTGTCCTTTGTGTTACGTCACAGACTAATTACCTTGCATTTTTTAACTTTAAGATGAACAAAATCAAATAAAAAAAAATCTATTCAGTACTTAAATTGTTCTGAGACTAGAATTTCAGTCAGAGAAATCTCAGCACTGACAATTAAAATCAAGGCCACCTACAAGACTAGGCACCATGAAAGACAGGAGAAAAAAAAATACCGTAGTCTGTATTTGGTAATATAAGTGAACAAGCTGAGTGAAACGTCCCACTCAACAGAACACCAACATCAAACACAACAAAAAGGTTTGAACAAAATTGCTCCCGTCTTTGTGTTGAGGTAATCATGTATATGTATCACGCACAGATAGAGATCTGACTCTGTGTGAACAGTGAGAGGTACGTGATTGAGAGCAGGTCCTTAATCATATCATCTGTGCATCTGGCCCACCATGAAATAGCAGCTGTTCTTTCTCAAGCTTACATTTTTTAGTAAACACTGGCGTCTACCTTTCACTTCATAGCATAATTACTCACACTTCTTACTTGTTTAAAAAAGGAATTATTATCCGCCTAGGACCCTGCATCCACATATGTGGACATCACATTTTGGGTTATTTAGACCAAAATACTAAATTTTGCTCTACAAGGGCCTGATATCCACTTACGAGGACATTATACTGCCACTGTTCTATCAAAATTTTAAACGAGTATCCTCATATGGCTCTTATTTTTCTTAAAAACAAAAATAAAGTAAAAAAAAAAATCAGGTAATTCTTTGTTTTTACGTTCATCAGGCCCCAATCAGCCCAAATATCAAAGAGAAATTCAAAATGCATGCCGTGGAAGAGTTCGAGTCTTAGGAGGTTATAGAAAATATAAACGTAATTTTTTAAATTTTAATTGAAACTAATTCACTGCTACACCCAATAATCAAATTTTTGATATATTGTGAATATTAAAAGAAATACCTCTGACAAATCATAATCGCAACTTCTAAACTGCAACCCAACTGCAACTCTAACATGCCTAAAGTCTAACCTTGTGGTATAAAAATATATCCTTTTTGCCTTGGCAATCATAGGGCACTAACTGACACACAAAAACTATTGACATTTATTCCAAAAATGTCACTTTTTAAATTTCTCTAAAGCGCATAAGGCTAGCATCAGACCTAACCCTGGACCTAACAGTGTTAATTTAATTTTGCCGCAACAGCCTCTCCATTTTCTTTGTGCTTTGCACAGCAGGGCAGTAGAGGATAGCAACAGCATCAATGGCACACTTGAATATCAAGTGTTTTTTAAGTATACTTAATTTTACCATTTTTTGTTCTCATGGCCACTGAGCAGCTGCACAGGACCAAACATTGGTTAGTTGTGACAACTATTTTGGCTCATGGCATAGACGATGGACATAGTACAGTATGTTATAAACAAATTCATGAAGAAAGGATATCTTAAGATGTGTATAGGGCCACCAGGGAGAGCAAGCCTGTAGAAACTGAGATGTAGCCTTTGACATTTTTCTTTTTTTTTTTTTGCAGTTTCATCTCGTTTCATTCGTTGCATTGCATGGTCTGACCTTGGGGTGAATTTGCTCAGCTGTCTGCTCTTGGCAACATTTGCAGTTGTTCTGAATGTTCTTCAAGTGTGAATAATCTTTCTCACTGTAGAATGATGGACTTCAAATTGTTTGAAAATCACCTTTTAACCCTATAAGACTGATGGAGAGCAGCAGTTGTTTGCTTAAAGTCATTCCTGCTGTTTTCCTCCTTGGCACTGTGTTAACGAACTCCTGAATGTTCCAGGAAGCTGCAAAACCGTCTTCTTTAACAGAGGTCCTCACACTTGTCCTGATATATAAAACCTTAGAATTTTAAAGAGGGTGTGCTTCCTTTTCTTTCTTTGACTGTTTTATTGTGATCCTCAATAAAAACTAAGACAGTGATTTATTAGTAAGATGGTCCATTAGACTTGTCTCCTTTCAAGGTCTCCCTTATCTTAAAGGACAAATGCAGTAAACAGCCCTATTCGATTAAATATTCTGCACTGTTTTGGCACTGCTGAATTATTATTCAGACAAAAAAATATTACTTTGCCACCTATTTGAAATTGTATTTGTAAGTCATCCTTTTTACCAGTAGATGTCACTGCTGCACAGCGTTAGCTTCGATTGTGGCAACAGCAGCAAAAATCTTGTGCACTCTCACAGTACTTTTGTAAATATTTCCCTCTGTAATAGCCATGAAAAATGAGAGGTATGTCTTTCCGCCCTCAAGGCCTCTGCAGCTTCTTTGAGATCTACAAAGAGACAAAATCATTAAAGCCAGCTATCAGTTCTAACAATCTTATTCATTTAAATTGAGAGGCCAGAGGTTTGCACTAATCTTGGCACCAGAGTTGCTAATCAAGCCCAGTACATGCAACAGGGTGCAAATTACTGTTTCGGTTGCAGAAGGGGGAGGGGGGGTTGTACCAGCTTTCAGGGCAGTGAGGCCAATTACATACCCCTGAGTTTAACCTGAAGTGTATACAGCCAGTTTTAAGATCAATCTGGAATCTCAAAGTTTTTTTTTATTATGTTAAGTTTTAAACTCTAAAATGGGGGTGAACAGCTACCTGGTCTTTGATTCTTTTTAAAAATCCCTGTCAAGGCCTTATGTTCTCCTGTAATATTCCAAATATTGGAGGCAAATCTTAACCTGAGATGGTGAGGTGTGAAAGCAGTTATTTAAACTTAGTGTTAAATATCCAACTGAAGTAGGAATAGTCACAGTGCTGTCTGCAGACCTTTGTGATTTTGTGTGAAGGAAGAAAATATTTAAACCTTCATTTTTAAACCTTCATGTTTTTGCAAAGGTGCCAAGAATTTGAATCTATATATTTGTCTATTCCTTGTGTTGGAGCTATTTACTTTTAAACCTGGCTTTAGACTTGCCAAAGAGCTTTATGTGCAATACAGAGTGTTGTTTTTGTCCCCTTACATTTGTGATAGATATGCTGCATCATCGTGACTTTTGATTTCAGCAAATATCATAAATTCCTCTCTTATGCAATCCTGTTCTGACACAAAGACATTATGCAAGAGCTGATGATGCTCGTTTCTTGCATCCGTGGCCTGTCCCGTTTAGACATCACAGACCGTAGCCAATGAATAGTACAGTATGCTGCTTGTGTTCTGAAAACATGTCAGACCCAATGTCAAGGTCTCCCTTCTCAGCAAACTCGTAACTGTCACTCACATTTAAGTCTTAGGTTCGAGTGCCACAAAGGACATGTGATACAGTCGTCCCACTGAACTGAGTCTGACGTGTAATGCCAGGTCAGTTAGTTCAATAAGTGCTCTCCCACTTGGCCTGGACCAAAAAGTGGCACCCGAGACCCAAAGGGAGGGGATGTGGGGCGGGAGCAGAGGAAGGGAGCCTTGTCGGCTGTGTCGGCTTCGCTTTACTTTTGACTTCAGAGTGCATGTGCTTCCAATTACAGACAAAGGAGAGGCGGTCTTGTGCAGCATGTGGTTCCATTTAGAGCAGGTGAAACAATGTAGGAAAATAGATCCGTCATCCGTCGCATTCCAGAGGCCAGTGAGAATCAGCGCCAAATCATAGCAAAGCTAATCCTGAGAGGAACGACTGGGGTAAAGGCAGTTGAGGGTCCTGGAGCCAACCTCAACAAGGACATGCTCACACTGGTCAAAAGGTCCTGGAATTCAGAGAAGTATGTGAACTTGATAGATTCATCCCCTTTCATGTTACCTTGGATTTCTATTGGCTCTGCTAGTCTCCTGATCCTGAGCCATGTTAGCAGCATGGGTCGATGGATGACGCTGTCAGCCAGACCAGAACTTCGGTCACGAGTGAAATGTCTGAAGAACTGCTGCAGAATCTGACAGTCGTGTTCCTCTGATGATGAATTGCAATAACTTGGCAATCCCGACTCTTTATTTAGGCTAAGACTTAGTAAAGCTTGGAGTTTGTATTCTTCTCGGTCTTGTTTAGGTTTAGTTCTAAACATTACATGCCTCTTTGATTTCTTGCCAGATTGCACTGGGTTTTTTGGATTCATCATTTACATCTCAATTTAAATATTATCAGAAAGTCTCAAGGTGGCATCTTGAGATGATCTGATTTTTTAGAATATCAGTCCAAAACCCTCAAAAATTAGGTTAAAAATGATAAACAAAAGCAAAATAGAAAATCCTCACATCCCGACACTGAGTTTCTTGTGATATTTGTCATATTTCAGAGATTAAAAGAGTCTGAGGCCAGACAAGGCTGTGGAGCAGGGTTGTGTAGGAGAAAAGGCATGTTATTGACTGCCCTAGTATGCAAGAGAAGGTCAGCAGCTGATTTT